CTGGGGAGTTGCTTTAGGCTGGTGTTTGATTATTTTCTGCATTATTTGGATTCCAATTATGGCTATTATAAAAATAATTCAAGCTAAAGGAAACATCATTCAAGTAAGTACATTATTTGTTCACCACCCCAAATCAAGTGTCCTTCCATCACCGTTTGTCCCCCTTTTACCCTTTCTTTTTTTTTTTTTCCTTTTACCCTTTCTTACCTTTCCCCAGCTCCTTTACTTCTGGTAATCACCATACTGTTATCTATGAGTTGTTTTTTTCTTGGGGGTGGGGGAGGGTTTGCTTAATTTCTTCACCCTTTTCACCCAGTACCCCCACCCCCTCCCTCTGACAGCTGCCAGTCTTTTCTCTATATCTATAAGAATGTTTCTATTTTATTAGTTTACATATAGGTGATGTATTATAGAACTGTACCCCTGAAAGCTATATAATTTTATTAACCAATGTCACCCCAATAAATTCAATTAAAATTAACATTATTTGTACTTCATTTAAAGCACTATGATCAAACTAAAGATTAACTTACCAATATGTTGGTAATATGAGCTTATGACCATGAGATCAAATTAATCACTCTTTCCATTAGGCTACTTCTGTATCTGAGACAAACATCCATTACTATGTGCATAGCATTGTATTACACTATACATATATTTGTGTGTCTCCTTATACTAGACTATAAGGTCCGTTAAGAAGAAGTCTTGTCTTGTTTGTTGCTGTAGCCTCAGGTGCCATTAGAGTGCTTAGCACATAAGTTATCATGTCTACACTTGTACTAAGTTTTCCTGAAAATGATGCAAAAGCAAAGCAAATGACCTTTTTTTGTGTTATATCTATAATCTTCACTTGTAAAACCTGGTCTGAAAAACAAACAAACCCACTCTGTTTATAATATATATCCTAATAGAATGTTTATACTGGGGAAAGCCTGGTAAATTATCTTGAATCCAAACTAGGTCCTGAGTCACCCCTCTTCCTTGGAGGCCTAGGGGGATGGAGTTGATTATGACACATCATTAGGGCATAGGGCAATAATAAGGTAGGCTCAGTAGTCAGATTTAATATATATATATATTATTTCAGAGAGGAAGAGAGAGAGAGTGAGAGAGAGAGAGAAACATCAATGATGAGAGAGAATAATTGATTGGCTGCCTCCTGCACGCCTCCCACTGGGGATCAAACATAACCTCCTGGTACATAGGTTGACACTCAACCACTGAGCCACGCCAGTTGGGCTCAGTAGTTGGATTTAAAATAAATATCTAAGCCCATTCAAGAATGAATCTAGATTAAATGTTTTACCCTGGAACTCCCTTTCTTTGGTTCTTGAAACTTTTCAGGTATACACTGGTTTAGATCCCCACCAAACAGTCACCCTGAGGCTAGGGCAAAGAAATTTAACATTCTAAAAAAAGTACTTTGATATTTATTTACAGATTGTAGCACTTAAGTTCTAAGACAGCTTTTTCCTCCCTCATTTCAGCGTATTGTAAGCTGCTGCAGACCAGCTCCTAACTGGGGTCCATACCTGGAACAACACCGTGGGGAGAGATATAAAGACATGGTGGATCCTAAGAAAGAGATTGACCATGAAATACCTACTGTCAGTGGCAGTGGAAAACCAGAATAACTTCTAATTTTAAAAAATATGTGCTTGTGTAATGTGATTATTTTAGAGAAAATTTTTATTTATTTGTATGTCAATTGAATAAAATGTATATATTATGTTCATAATAGTATAACAGCTATTTTTTCCCATTTAAGCAGGAATGTAATATAAAAATGTTTAGCAATGTACCTATTATATTTCTTTTTAGATGATCTATCTGTATTAACACACACATAGCTGTCTCTATTTCACAATAAAATTTTTGTACATATTACCATAATATATTGAAGGCTTTAATTTGAGCAGGTTATTTAGAAAATAGTTATATTTTCTATTGTACAAGTTTTATAATATTACTTGTTTATATTTTCTTGTTATACAATCTTTTATTCCCCATAAAGCTGGGGAAAATAAATCAGTATATTTAAAAGAAAGTATTAAAATTGAAGGCCTCACTTAATTAGAAATGGTATACATATATGGAATAAATGGACTGTATATATCACATGTGAATATAGTTTAATACTTTTGATCCAAATATGTCTAAAAACTTTAGGTATTAATGGCTAACTTTTTCTATGTGAACATAGTAGTTATGTCCTTTATTTACAAATAGTAAAATAAGACAGAAAAATAAGGACCCTGTGTACAGTAAGTGATAAATCTAGAAAATAGAAACCAGAATCTTTAAGTACTTCCTTCCCCATATAATCTCTTCCTTAGGTTATATTTGGAAGAAAAATATGACCCATCTAATTTCTACTATTTTAGAAAATTAAGAGTAGTTCATTGTACTCTCTGAAATCTAGCTGTAATTTCAAATAGAACATGGAACAAACTATGAGTGAGGAAATGGCTTCAATCAAATTTAAAAATTTATGTTGTAATATATTGTTAATAGATCAAGTAGAATGATTTTGTCTTATTTGAATATGTTACTACTTATAGGTGATAACTTGTTTACATCCTTATAGGAGATAAATTTGTTAAACTTGTCAAGAATGAAAGAAACCAAATTAGAAAGTCCTATGTCCCAGTTTCCTTACAGAAGATAATGAAAACATATTACATCATTCATAGTTTTTTACAGTGAGAACATATTATTGACAATTGGTTGAAACATCACAGCCTAGGATGATGAACATTCCCTTAATATGTAAGACATTTTTCAACTATTTTTAAAGTTTTTAACCTGGGCTTCAGGGAACATATGGAAGGCAGCAGGAAACACACCAGGTGTTAGACTGGTGGGGGTCACACTGGTCCTGGTTTCAACAACCTCGGTACTTGAGTTCTGGCTAGGAAAGAATTCAGAGCCAACACTTTACTTATTTATAAAATCACAGAGATGGAAGAAGTAATTTGTAGGAGAAATGGGCTTATGAAACAAGTTATAGAGGTAAAGGAAGGGCCCTTGGAGTTTGGGAGTGAGGAAGGTAATGGTAAGTGCCTGGGGACAGGGAAAGGAGAGGGGAAGGCAGGGAGTTCTCCCAGGAGGGAGAGTGCACTGGGTCCTCATCCTAAAGGTTTTAAGGGTGGAAATTTTAGGGGAGGTTCCAAGGGAAGATTTTAACAGAATAATTAGCAGCTTTCCAGGTGTTTCTTTTCAGGGTCTAGGTCTCCACTGATTGCTTGGTTGGCACCAGGGCAAGTGGTCATTATCCAATGCAGCTGGTCCTGAGGTCAGCCATGGGGCCACTTGTCTGGTTTTGCTGCTTTTCTGGGCTTGGAGCTGAAATGAAACTGAGGCCTAGATGTTACCTCTAGGGAAGAAAGGTCAGGGGGTCCAAACTGCAAGACCAGCGATATGCTAGGGGAGGAAAGGTCACTCTGGGGGTGAGGTCCCACCCTACGATTGTCCTTTGCTAGGCACCTGGGGCTTTCCGCTCTGGTGCCCTTCTGTACCTGGCCCATCATCCTTGCTCTGCCTACCACCTAAGTAAAATGATAGGCAATATTATTCTATGGGCATATTATTCTATGTGTATGTATGCATGCATTTTTTCTAAGGAAAGGTTCCATAATCTTTCAACAGACTATCAAAGAGATCTGTGGCTCATAAGTTTAACAACCATACATACCACTGCTAGCTTTTCTTCTTGGCAAGTAAAAATAAAAGGAATAATTTTTAAAACTTTAATTTCTTATACATTTTA